TTTTGAGCTGCTGTGGAAGAAACCTCTCTCCTCCCGGGCTTTATTGCTGCATGCAAGGTGAACTGGAAGGGCAGACTTGCAGAGCTACTTGCCTTTGCAAATCCCAAGTCCTGACACCTCTTGGTCTGTGAAAGCTCTCCACGGATGCCAGTGGCTTTAATTTCAGACTCTAACATTTGAATGGTCTTTGCTCTGGCAGAGTCACCCCGGTATTAAACGAACACCCCAAACGGTGCAGCAAGAACTTGCCATCATTTGAAGCAGGCTTAGTTACGTTAAGCACTTAAAATGTCATGATTCTCAGACACCAGCTACTTAACATACTTATACAAAAAATTACAAAGGGTCTGGAAGGAAAGTGAGGGATGGTTTCTGACGGGGATCTCCATATTAACTACCAACAGAAAAGCTTTGACAAAGTCAGAGGGATAGAGTAAAAGCCTTGGCAGTAGCCATTTCCACCATCCTACAAGTTTACAGCCCAGGGTATAACTTCTGAAAACTATTCAGCAGCATCAGCTGGGGAAAAGAAGAGAGGAATTAATCCTGCTGAATCCAGAGTCAGTGACACTGCAGTGCATGGAAGTGAAATGAGACAGAGAACAGCATCTAAAAAATTCGTAGCACTATGGGACGTGAACACGGAGCAAGACAGCCAAGTGGCACGAGACCTCCTTGCAAGGAACACCCGTGCAGGCAGCGGGAAGCTGCAGGAAAGCTTAGCAGGACAGTGGGTGCTCCTGCCCCATCCAGGCAGAGGGAAAGGTGAGGGCTATGAGCCATGCACGCTCCCAAGGGCCACTGCCTGTCCGGAGCAGTTTGTTCTTGAAGAGATGCTTCAGTGATGCAGAAGAGATGCTCCAGGAGCAAATGCCAGCTGCACAGCACAGGCACAGACTCACAGGAGCCGTGTCCTCTCATGCAGGGCAGCCTCCAGCTCCTTGCCCCTCCAGTGCCACCATAAGAGGAGTAGCTGCCCATCACACGGAGGTGGGGACAGGGGGTAGAAGAGGCAGCAGCTTGCGTGCAAGGTAACAGCAGCACTAGGAACCACCAAAACCAGCATAAAATAAAGATGCATCGGGCAGTTTGCTCTGATCCACCCTCCTGCCCTGCACCTCAGCCCCATGGTGGGTACAGCCCAGCTGTGGCCAGCTGGAGGCTACGGGAGGAAGGTTGGGGCAACCCAACTGCAGAGCCTGTGGGGAGCCTGGGCATCCCGAGAAAGCTGGCACAGCTCCCCTTTCCCTCCCATCCTTTCCAGCTTCTCTTCCCCTACTCCTTTCCTCTCCACATCAGCAAGCATATCTCAGCGGTCAGGAACTGATCAAAGCCCTCTGTCTCCAGCACGTTGCCTCTTCTCCGGTGGGACAAGCCCTGAGGCATGCTGCAAAGGGCATTTTTCCTCTCCAGACCCCCTTTTCTGAAAGCAGGCGGGAATGCAGGGTCATCCTTCTCTCTCATCTCCCAGTTTGATTTTCCTTGCTCTGGTTCTTAGAGCTTGAAGTTGGTGGATGGTTCGTTAAAAGAGAGGGAAAGCAAGCCGTACGGATGCTTGAATAGCTCCATGGCAAGATTTCCTTGTGGAAAGCATGACTAAATGTAACAGGACGGGGTCTCTTCTGAGAGGTTTTTTAACCAAGCCACGAAACATAGGTGAGGATTATACCTTGGGTTTTATTATATTTCCTATAACAAGGGGTGTTCTAGGGAGCGATCTAGGCATTTTATAGGTGCCTGGGCAGCGTCGCCAGCTCCACGCATTCAAATATCACAAGAGGCGTTCAAAGCATTGAGAGCCTGGCTTTAAATAATCACAAGCCCTTTATTATTTAAAACCCCAAAAGACAGACCTTCCTTTCTTTGCCATCTGTTTTTCTGAGGTTTTAAGATTTATGTCATCAAACTCTGAGTGAATAAGGGTGGGGTTTGGTTGGGTTTTTTCCAAGCTCAATCTTACAGGTCTCTCATAAACCCCATGACTCCAGGAGCTTAGTCTTTGGAGAAGATAAACAGCAAATTCAGGAAGGTCGCCCCAGAATTGACAACCCTGGTTGCTAGCTTCCTTCCTGATAAATTATTTTGTATCTTTATGACAGCAAATCACAGGTTGCTCTAATCATATGGCTACAGCTATCTAGAAAGGAAAAGCATTTGGGACATGGTTTTGAAGACGAACACATATCTATATTGGAATAACAAAGTCGATATGTTCACCCAAAACTGTATCTCTCTTTTCACTATTTCAAACCACATCATGCACAATAAGATTATGTACAGCACATCCATCCTTCTAGTACTTGAGTGTGCCCGATTTCCTCCCAACATTGCACTTGCACCACTGATAACAGGAGAAATCAGGCTGGACTCTTCTCTCACTCCTGGTGCTCTCCTACCAAACAGCTCCACAAATTGTCCAGCCTTGCACTGGTGCAACGAGCATAAAACCCATTCTGCCCTGGGAAACACTGCTAAAATCTCCAGGCCACAAACAGAACTCCAGACTGCTTCAAACGGGATTAAGCATTGCTTGAACTTTGCAGTCCACCCTCAGAAGTTTAGAGGCAGAGTGTTGTAACAAGATCTGGACAGCACGAAGCAATGGGTGATGCTGTCTTACTCCATAGGTCGAGGATCCTCCCCAAAAAAAGAAACCATCAGGGCACAGAGCCACTGCCGTGATGCCTAAACTTAGCATCAGCCGCAGAAAAGGAAAGAAGCTGTGGCTGGGCTGTTTTTTATTCCCCTTTGATCCTTGCCTGACTCCCCAGGAGTCACCAGCAACCAGGAGTAATTTATAATAAGCTTTAGGCTGCTCTGATTTATTCTGGGAGCTGAAGCCAGGTGCAAGGAAGTTAAATAGCCAGCATTTCTTGGCTTTCATTGGGGGAGCAACACAGTAAACGTTACAAATCCCCAGTGTGGCATACTTTGGACTTTGCCTGCAGTGGGCAAAGAGAGCACATTAAGACAGCACATAAAAAGGGATCAGGCTTTTTGCAAGTAGGATGCACCAATCAATTTTGGCAAGTCCTTTTTCTAGCTGCAAATACTGACCCTGGAACAGCACTCAAATCATGCTGGAGCGTTAGCAACAGAAAAATGAAAAGCACCAAAAAATTAAGGACAGAAAAGAATACCTTTGATGACTTCCAAAAAGAAGACTAATAAGAGTTTTTTCCCCCATGTATCTTCAATTTCCTGAAATGACATGCAAAGAAATGGACAACCCAGAGTTTGTTTCAGAACACAGAACGGCAGAAGTTATTCATTATCAGTAGGACTGATTGGAAATTCAGCCGCCGGCTTGGCTTTTTCTTCCTCTTACAAATTGTTCACAAACTAATCCTAATTTTTCCCAAGTGAATCTACAACTTTCAGAAGTATAACCCTGCGGGTTAGGAAGTCCACAAACATAATGGGTCAGCAGTACCTAACTCCCTTTGACTTCTTTGAATAACTGAGCCTTCACCAGCCCATTGAACAAAACCAGCTGCTCTCGGAGTTACTCACATGCTTTCCAGTTGGATTTTCACTTTTTGCTATTCAGGGCATGTGACTGCTCATCTGCACTACATGGTTTGATTCTACAGCTCGACTGGATGACCAAAGGCTTTTAAAATAAGGGAACAAGCGAGGCTGAATGATGAAGAAGTCACTTACAGTTCACATTTTTTTGGACAAAACAAGCTTTTGTGCTAAAGTTTGCGAAGCCTTTTAGATTCATAAACATTTTCCCCACCACCCAAAGGTCATCCGCATACTCATAAATAACCAATAATATAACTCTTTGGAGACCAGCGAAGCCAAGTCAAACTGAGAGTTGGCCAACATGTCCACAATACTGTTTATTCCATTAGTGCACCAGACCCTGCACCGGAGCACTTGACTCTGCCCCTTCAAAATGAAATGAAAGAAATGAAAAAAATCAAACAGAAATCAAAATCCATCTGAATGAGTCAGAACACCACGTGATGACTGTCCCCTCGCAGACCACTCTGCGGCGTGTATTTCCACCAGTCTGTATATGAGATGTCAAACCATTCAGTCTATAAAACCACTTTATTATAAATACTAGCATCCTGTCCCAGTGGATTTGAGGATTTTTTTTTTTTTTTAAATTGAAGCCTAGCTCCATCAAAACAGCAATGTTACAATATTTCGGAAGCAAGTGGGTTTGATTCCAAGCATGCCAAAAGGCAGAGGGAGGGAGATAGCAAGGGGGAACAGCTAAATCTTTTCGCTTTCTGTCCTCAGCACCATTGCGAAATCTTTCTCCAAAACATAAGATTCAAGTCAAGTTGCCATGTTTTAAACAAACCACGGTGTGTTATTGTACTACACTTCTGAAACGGGGAATGTAGGTCAAGAACTTTTGGACCTCTCAGATTCTAAGGTATACAAACTCTGGCAGCGTTGCTATCTGCATTCTTTTATTTTTTTTCTTCTTTTCTTTTTCTTTTCTTTTCTTTTCTTTTCTTTTCTTTTCTTTTCTTTTCTTTTCTTTTCTTTTCTTTTCTTTTCTTTTCTTTTCTTTTCTTTTCTTTTCTTTTCTTTTCTTTTCTTTTCTTTTCTTTTCTTTTCTTTTCTTTTCTTTTCTTTTCTTTTTTCTTTTCTTTTCTTTTTTTTCTTTTCTCTTTTCTTCCCTTTCCTCCTCTTCTCTCTCCTCTCCTCCTCTCTCTTCTGCTCTTTCCTCTCCACTCTGTTCCTTTTCCCCTTCCCTTTCCTTTTCCCTTTCCTTCCATTACCCCTTCCCTTCCTTCTTCCCTTTTTCTCTCCCTATCCTATCCTAACACTGACAAACAGCTGCAAGATACAGCTTCAAATAAAACACTCTGAAAAGCTCCATTATGTTTATTGACACATTTTCCATTGTCAAGTTTTCATCCAGTGTGACACAAAACAAGTATTCAAAAAATGCATATAAGCATGCATAAATACATGCATGCACATACAGTATGTGAAAACACATGAAAAGTGTGTTTGCACGCATGTGCTTATGCTGACAGATATATATATTTTTTTTTTTTTTTCAGCCTTAGGGCAATTTACAGGCTGGATGCTGCAGGCTGGCTCTGTGCATTATGAACCTTGTCAGTATGAATTATGGGGGCAAGCGATCCTGCCAGCGGGTCATGGAACAGCAAGTGCGTAAAAAGGCAAGACTGTCCAAGTCCATGCAGTATCAGCTGGGGCTTGAAATGCGCTGCCAGACAGAGACCAAGATCAAGCTGCAGCCTTTAAGGCCAGGAGGAGCACGATGCCCATTTCTGCTGACCCCTTGCAAGGGCGTGAATTACAGATTTCCACCCAAGAATCCCAGCAACTTTTTCCCAGTAACTGAAAGTACAAAAGCACTTAAGCAGGTATTTAAAGTCAAGCTGTACCTCAGACCTTGTAACAGACTGCTCTTGGTTTCATTGAGCTGGCAGATCAGAGCCAGATCTTCTGCTGATTAAGCCTCTCTGATATTAACTGTGTGCTGGATTATCATTTAGACAAAGATCCAGGCATAATGCAGATACCCAGTACAGGGCTGATTGCTGGAGGGGAATGACTATGTCTTAGTAAATAGATGATAGGCTCTTCCTCTGACTTTCAAGGGTATTTTTCCTGGAAACCAATTTCTGATGTATCTTTACTCCAGCCAGTGAAAGATGAACACACTTCACTCAATATTTCAAAGCACTTGAACAGCATATGTTTGAGAGTTCAGCATAAATCTTCTCGGGCCCAAAGTTTGCACATGAAAGGCTGGAAAAAGCAGTAGAGAAAAACACCAAGGAAAGGTTAGCACAAGAAATAGAGCAGAGAGAGCAATCCAGATGAAAAAATACATTCACTCTATACAGTATTATACCCACAAAGGATGTTATATGCCAGGAGCTAGAAGCCCTGTGAGTGCCAAAATCCAGGTTATTCACACAGCAGCAACTGGTTCCCCTGAAAATGGTCGTTGTGACACAGCCAGTTTTTTCCACAGGACATCCCAGATCATTCTTCCCTGGTCCCCATCCAAGCCTGAATTTTTCTGCCTGTCTCCCACAGCCTGTCCTTGTTCTGCCTCTTTCTGTGCTGCTGCCTCCACAAGTGAGTTTCTTTTCCTCTTGGACTTGGTCTCTCCTGAATTTTGAACCTCTGCTTACCACCCTGACGTTCCTTGCCCTATCAACAGCCTCAGTTGCTTTTCCTTAACACATGTTCTCTCTAAGTCTCTTTTTTTCTTCCTATCCTTCCAGTTGCTTTCCTGGTACCAGCCTCCTCTTCCCTGCTGGCTTCCAGTAGCATTTCAAGTCCCAGACCTTCTGCCAGTCTTCACTTCCCTCTTTGTCTTCTCATGCCAGGTTTCTTGTGTCTAGCTGTTCCCTTTGCTGCTTTCTCCACCATGTTCAGCTCCCAGCAGTCCTCCTGCATTTGACATCTGGTTGCACACCTCCTCCCTCCTAGACACCAGCAGAACTGAAGCCACCAAGATTGCAGGAGGGACAGAATCTTTTTCACCTCCTCCTTAGCATCATGGTACCATGAGAGTCGTTAGGAAGGTTCACGGATGAAATACACCCTCTTGCTTTTGGGATAAGTGCCACAAAATGAACTATTCAAGTGGACTCATCAAAGCATTTACGAGACTCTCACCACCACCAGCAAACTGAGATGTTTTGTTTTTCTTTTCTCCAAAACATATAACACAGCTGAAAACAATCAGCTTTTCACAGGAACAGCAGCAGGCTCTTCCTCAACCTCAGAGGGTTGAACTCATCTGTCTAAAAATGAGGAGTCTACTTTAAACATTTTTTCTAAACTATCTCTGTCATTAACCTCCAGGGTGCAATTAGTTTCACTTCTATTAGGTACCTACTTTCAGATGGGCTCATTGAACATCCCCATCTTTCTCCAGAGAGGATGGAGGAAGCTCAGCTCAGACAAATTACCTGGAATGAACACCTAACAAACAGCCAGCATTGAAAATGAGGTGAACTCCAGCGACCTGTGGTTCCTCAGCAACATCTCAGCCTCTCATTCAGAAGAGGGAAATCAGGAGAGTACTCTCAGTGAAATGACAAAAAAAAAAAAAAAAAAAAAAGAATATTGTTTTTGTCTTTTTTCAAACGTGGAAAAAAAAAAATTTGTTTTTTCTCCTCATCTCATTCTTGGATATGGCTGAACCATTTCAGATGACATCATCCCAGGAAAAATCCAGCCCAAGACACGTGCGTGGCACCAAAAATGCCAGTGAGAACAGTTAGAGATTGGCAAAGTCATAAGCAACTGAATACAGGGTTTTACGATAGGAAGTGTTGAACAAATTCCTAAGAGGTACTAATCCCATCTACACCACAAGTAGGATAGAAGGAGGCAACTCTCCCTTGCCTTGATTTCAAATTGTTCTTCAATGCACAGTATGTCACCTCTGTTTCTCTTCAGAGAGAGGAGGTGGCGTGAAGATGGTTTTATCTTTCTTTAAATGACTGTCCCTTTTGAGGGGGAGAAAAGAGAGGGGGGAGGGAGAGCCACTAACACACTTGGAGTCCAGGTACAAGGAAAAATGTGCCTGAAAAGTGACTCCAAAGCCAAGAGCTTCACAGGATTCAACAGTTCTTCCAGCGCTATAGGATATACAGATACGTATCACTCAGTAACATTTTGCAGGCTCCAGACTCAGCTGCGTTATCGGGCAGGCTTTCCAGCAATTAATGATGGAGATGTCAAGTGTTTAAAACAGACCACAGTAACTCCTTCAACGCAGCCTGCAGTGGTGCACAGCACATCTGCGTACTTCAGCATGGAGAGAAGAGTCGGCTTTGTTTCTTGTATGAAGCTAAAAGATAGTAAGATCAAGGAAACGACATTACCCCTACTCTCTTCTGAGCTAAGTCAGTACGACAAGTAATGAAACACAGTGTTGCAGGCTCACCCCTGTCTTCAGCTTCACTGTGAGAGGAGTTCCAGCCTTAACCTCAGGTGCTTCGGTGGCGATGGGCTTACCAGATACTCAGCATTACTTTGGCCCATCATCAACACAGGCACTAGTCAGGTGAAGCCATGGGAAACCTACTACTAGAGACAATGAAAAAAAGAGAAAGAGCAAGAAAGACCCCACTTTGGTGTCATTCTGCACATGAAGATGGCACCAGGGATACCCCAGTAAAACACCCAGCCATAGTGGTGAGTCCCATCCATGTCAGCACTGGGCATCCACCTCTTGTTACCAGTAGGACATGGAAGAGAATAACTTACATACAATCTGGGAAACCCGTAACATGCTGGGCCCTTCTGGATGCTACCAGACAGCTTTATGCATGTCGCACCCGATCTTCACGTTCAGCTTCCAGCCTTCTTACCCCAACAACATCAACTGTAATTGGTCTCATTTAGTAGGAAGCCCTCCTCTACAAGAAGGGACACCCAACACCGTTACAGGGGAAGCTGAAGAGGCTGGGAAGTCCCTAGATTCTGACTGATGGCAGGTTTGAGGCACTTTTGCTCCACAATCACAGAGCAAGGGCAATGAGTGTGTGGCTGAAGGTCCTGAGAGCTGTGTTGGGTGAAAGCAGTAGGTGCCAGGAATGGGGGGCACCCACCAACAAGATAAGCTCGCAACCGGTGAAAAAGCCTTGGATATAGCCATTGCCAAGAAATCCCTTTTTGAGGAATAAACCTGTTCTGTTAGCCGCCTTCGCCTAGCAACCACAGCGCTACCCTCTGCGGCCGCTCTGAAGCGTTCACCTTGGAAGATGTGGCCTTTGACAATCAAAATACCAGACACTTCGGGTTTTATTGCAAGCTCTCCTGCCTTGGAAAGAGCTGATGAAGGTCCCACTGTGCTCCTGGGCCTGTGAGCTCCAAGACCTCATGCCTGTGGCTTGGTGGTACATAGGTCTGCCTATAGCAGCCACGCTCCTCCGCCTCGCCCCCCCTCCCCGCAATACCACAGCCCCTGGAGGAACCCTCTGACTCACGGCAGACACTTCTCCCATTTTTATTTTTTTTTTCCCCTCCTCTCTCGCTCTCTCTTTTCCCCTGCATAATTTGCTTGCTGCCATCCAGAAAAGGGCTTTTACCTCCCAGAAAACAGACAAGGCAGCTCCCAAGGGCTGCAAGCACAGGATGACTTGCCATCCCCATCTTGTCAACCAGTGACACAGCTCGGGATGGATTTTTGGGAGTGTGGGAATAGGGTGGAAATCAGGCACTTGGATGCCACAGTGATTCTTCAGACAGTGGGGCGAGCTCTTGTAGGCTATACCTGGGAGACACATGCAAGCGCACATGGTGGGATTTGGGAGTTGAGCAACACCACGCAGGAACAGGAGGAGGGTGCGACCGGATCGCGGCCTTCACGGCACCCCCCCAGGGCAGCACTGCCCCATCCCCTCCCCAGTTCTGATGGCCAATTTGCTCTCTGGCTTTGGGAGAGATGCAAAAGGGTTAGATCACCGCTACCTTGCTCAAAGACACTATTTGCTCACCTAAAAGTAAGCCCAGGTCTCCCTTCACCACGCTGTAGGTGATGCCTGGAAGGCACAAGAGCCACACGCCATGTCTATGTCCTGTTTGACATCTTCAAGCCTTCCAGTCCCAGCTCTGCTCTGGTTTTCACCTCCTCCTACACTTCTCTGCAAGGAATTGCCATTACCCAAGACCAGAGGGCTGTGGGAAAAGCCAACACACTCATTTTAAAAGGGGACGGTAATGTCTTTAAGTCTCTCTTTTTATTTCTTTTTTTTTTTTTTTGTGGTAATCACTCTGAACTCCCCTTTGTATGAACTACTTCACATTGCTGAAGTCAGGGGACCCTCTTCACCTCCCAGAAGCTGCGCAGCTGGCTCCTCACACCCACATTGGGGAAACTTGCCCAGTGGAATGGATGAAAACTCCGCAAGGGCAGAACTGTCACAAAGGGTGGGCACTCTCTGAGTCTTGCTGCCAAGCTCCATCATGCGTGTCACAGGGGCAAGTCACTGTCCTGAAGATCACCCCTTGCTTCTGTTCCATCAAGAGTGTATGATGAGCAGAAGGAGGTCTCCCCTCATCACAGTCCCTGACCTACCCTACTAGAGGAGCACGGGCTGAAAATGAGACTGTTGGGAGAGGACTAACTCCCCAGCCCTGCAGTGTGAACATCTGTACTGCAGGGAGGCTGTCCCTCCTCAACAACAACCACCAAAAAAAAAAAAAAGGGTCATTTTTCTTCTTCCCCCCTCTTCCCCCCCCTCCTTCCAGAAAGTCTTGGTTTCATCCCACTGTGGAACGAAAACAAATGCTCTAAACCGCAACATTTTTCACAAACCGGAATTTCTTGCAGTCTGGCCAGCCTTGGTGGATCAATACCAGGCATTTCTTTCCTCCTCTGCTCTGGCCTTTCCCTTCCAGCCTCCTCCCCCCCGCCCCACTCACCGAGGGGAGTAAGGGAGCCAGAGGTGTCGAACGGAGGAGTCGGGAACACTCCAGCTTGGTTTTAAAAGGGACAGAAAAAACACTGGCGTCAGTCGGAGGACCAGGGCAGGCGCTGAGACCTTGTTTTGGATTTCACAGAGGCTGTCCCTGGGGAGAGCTGTCTTTTTTTTTTTTTTTTCCCTCCTTTTTTTTTTTTTTCTTTTTTTTTTTTTTTCTAATGCATGGTTTTGTTTGTAAGTTAAAAGTCTCAGGATTTGCAGTCTTTGAAGCATGGTCAGCCTGCCAGATGGAATTAGTCAGTGCCTTTCGGTCGGAAATCCCAGGCAGATGAAGCGGGATGGAAGGACAGTGTTTTT